GAAAGTGGCATTAATGGAGTAAGAAAAAAGGAAAACAAAGTGTTAGGGCATTCATACATTGAATTAGGGGGAAAGAAATAGTGAAAAACTAAACAATATGAGAGTTTTAGAACTCACTACTTTCCAAAGTCAAATTACCTTCATCATCTTCCTTATCGTCAATCTCCTTGGATCCGACATTTGGATACCTTATCCAATCCTCAGCACAAATCAATGCCTCCACCATTGGGTCGCTCAAAGAGGACCTGAATGGACTGAGAATCCGTCCGCCATAGCTCAATGTTGCCTCTGAGGCAATAGAAGAGATGGGAACAGCTATGACATCCTTAGCCATCTCAGCAAGAATCGGATATATTCCAGAGTGTCGAGACCACCAATCTCAAATGTCAAACTTTGCATCATCACTCTCTTCATTGATACAATCGGTTTGACATTTCAAATAGATGTCAAGCTTAGCAGAGCTACCTCCTGTTTCCAGCAGAAGTGCTTCCCTTTTCCTCTTCCTAAGCCTCTCCTCTAACAACTTAATCCGATCACCACCACCTTCACCAGAACTACCATCAGCAATGCTATCATCAGTGGGCAGCTCAGATGCAGACCCTAATCCATACTTCCCCTTATAAACCTCAAACATCTGGCGCATCTCCCTTTTAATAGAATCCTGAATTTCTCCTCCCTTCATACGTCCATAAATCATTACGAACACCTCAGACACCATATCAAGTTTACTTTTGGGATCAAGCACACATGCTATATAAATAAAGTGATTCACTTTTGAATTCTCTTCATTCATAACACGTGTCTCAAACCAATACTTGTGTACCTTTACCTCAACCTTTTCTGCCATCCTTTGGATCTCCTCATGCGGATCATTTTCAATTCCTCAATGATATCATAAACTGGAACAAGCTTCTTGAAGAAGATATGGGTAGTCGCATATTTAGTTCCTGTATAATGAGAATAGATTACAGGAAATCAGACTAAAACAAACAAAAAGTGTCAAGTGATCAAATTAATATAAAACAATGTAATTTAAATTCCACCTACCCAAGACTAGGAGGGTCAAGTCATTAAAGACTTTCAGATACTTCATCAACTTCATAATCAACTGCCAATCTTGTTCAGTTGGAAGACCACCTCTTGAATCAACATAATCTCTGAAGGAATGATCGTGTAAACTCGTATACAAAGTTGTGAACACTCCACCAAACCTTTCTACTGCTTCTAACATGATATAGGTGGAGTTCCACCTGGTTGGTACATCCAAAGACACCAATTTGGTGACTCCACCTCCAGAAATTGCATGGCAGTCTTGAACCTCAACAACCTAGCTGGTGATGACCGCACCTCACTTCGCATAGTCTCGAACTCTATCCACAGCTCCTCCAATCACTTTCAATCCATCCTGCACCACCAGATTAATGACGTGTACGACACACCGAAACTGCATATACTTCCCGTCCATCAACTCACACTCCCACTCCTTTAACTTCATTCTCATACAATCACTCATAATATCATTTGAAGTTGCATTGTCCATGGTCATGCAGAACAGATTCTTCACCTTCCATTCTTCAAGAATTTCTGCAAGCTTCACTACAAATCATTTCCTGTATGACTTGTGATGGGAACAAAGGAGAGAAGCTTCTTCTGCAACTTCCAATCAACTCCAACAAAGTGAGCAGTCACACACATGTAATTTTGTTGTTACCAGATGTCCGTGTATCTGTGGTGATTGAAATTCTGACGTTGCTCTTTGATTCAAAAAAACTCTATCAAAAGCATTTTCTTCTCCAAGAAGATATGAAAGCAATCATCTCTAATACCTCTCCTCCCAGATTTTTTTAAACAGTGGCTGAACAACTTGCATAAACTGCTTAAACCCTTCTCTCTCCACAAAGCGAAAGGACAACTCATCATGGATAAGGTATATCTAGCTTTTGGTTGATCAAACCTCCATAAAACACTTGGCTTTGACTACCATCTGCGATATGCAAGTTCAGAACAGTTTGATCCCTCGATGCTGCAACCTTAGACAAACATGATTTCCGATGGTTATTCATTGCAGAAGTGCCATTCTTGCTTGGATTTGCTTTGATTTTAGTGTGACAATGCATGCACTCTCCCATCAGATACTCATCCACCGCCACTTTCATAAAATACTTCCAGCAATCAGATGTACCCTTTATCTCCAACCATTTTTGTAGGTTGAAGTCACCTTTAACTTTATCTAAATTCGGAGCCTCCGTTTCTTCTACTGATGGAGTCTGAGCACCAGGTGTACTTCCACTATCGGCATGGGCGGGAGTCGATGTAATTGATGCCGACGCCGACGGTTCATATCCCGGACAACTCTATAGCATTGCCATCAATAAATGTTTAACATGTCATACTCCCGAACAATTTGATTGCATTGTCTATTCAAAATGTCTAGCGTGTCATATCCCGGACAATCCCATAGTTATGCCATCAATAATGTTTAGCATGTCATACCCCGAACAATTTGATTGTGTTGTCTATTAAAATGTCTAGCATGTCATATCTCGGACAATCCATCGCATTGTCATCAATAAAAGTTCAGCAAGTCATAGCTCGAACAACTTGATTGCTTTGTCTATTAAAAAATGTCCAGCATGTCATATCATATCCCAGACAACCTCATAACTTTGGCTTCAATAAATGTTCAATCCGTCATATCCCGAACATCTTGATTGCATTGCCAGAAAATGTCTAGCTTGTTATATCCCGGACAACCCCATTAGCTATGCCCTCAATATATGATCAACATGTTATACCCCGAAGAATTTGATTGCATCATAATTCAATTTGTTTAGCATGTTATACTCCGAACAACTTGAAAGCTCTTTTATACCACCTTTCAACTTGTTTAGCTCGTTTTATCCCAAACAACTTGAATACATCGTCATTACCATTATAATCAAAACCCTTACACGGCTACATTGCAAGGGGAATAAACTAATACCCACATCTAGGCTACACTACCAGGGAACTAATCAGTACCCATGACACGACAACACTGCATAGGAAACGAATTAGCACTTACAAGCCGGCTACACTGCAAGTGAGCTAATTAGGACCTACTAGACGGCTACACTGCGCGGGAAACAAATTAGTAACCACATCTAGGCTACACTGCAAGGGAACTAATCAATATCAACGACACAACTACATTACGAAAGAAACTAATCAGTAGAGCTGTCAAAATTGAACCCGACCCGACTAACCCGCCCAACCCACCCGACCCACAACCCGTTCATAACCCGATTTGACAAAAAGTCAACCACCTGAAGCCCGCCCGTAACCTGAAACCAATTGACCCGTAATCCGATCAACCCATAACTCGATGAACTCGTTATCCGTTCCAACCCATAACCTGACCCATCTATAACCCGAATGATTCATAACCCAAATAACCCGTAACCAAACCGAACCCAACTCGAATAATCCGAATAACCCATTTGACCCGAATTCTTGTACAAAAATTCAATGTATACATTATTATATTTTTAAATTTACCAAGAAAGAACTGGTGTTCTCATAATAATTGAAAATTATTTGTAGAATTGATGCTATAAATAGGAAGAGTTAGACACAAATTCGTATCTCCACCACCCATAACTATATTAAAAAACCAACCCTTGAAAAACAATGAAATCCCCAAAATCAATGAAATCAATGATCCATATCAATATATATAAGTGGATAGTTTACTCTTTTTACTTCATTCTCAACTTTTTACTGATTTTATTTATCTTTTATAAATTAATAAATCGACGATTCGAACTAGATGATAATATCATATTTGAGCGAACCGTTGTTTGACCCATGAGTTTTAGGATGAGATGTTACCGTGAATATTTAAAAAATTGTGAAGATATATAAGTGGGTGATTCGGAATGATGTTCATAAGTATTCGTGGAAATGAAGAGACACACATCTAGTTCATACTATATTTAATTAAGATGATTCATTTCGAGATGTATAAGCATATAGTCTACCTTTTTTTACTTCATTCTCAAAATTTTACAAATTCAATTTTTTATAAATTAATAAAATAAGTGAAGTTACAATCTCTCACCATAAACAAAAAAATTATAACCAACAACAAAGCTTTTATATACACTATTTTATTTATATTTAGTTTTTATACTAACATTATGAATATTTAATTTGTATGGGTAAAATATTATCATATTATCATTTTCTTAAATTTTGTATCATTACCTACAATTTATATTCATATATTGACAGTTTGTAAAACATTATTTTCTGTCAAGAAGTAAATAACCCGCAATCCAATAAACCCGTAATTTGATGCACCCATAATCCGACCCGACCCGTAACCCAATTAACTAGTGACCTGGTTGACTCATAACCCAATTGACCTACAACCCAATTAAACCCGATCCAAATTGAAATCGACCCGATTGAACTCGCAACCCGATTGAACCCAACCCAGTTAGACCCAATCCGAACCCGACCCAACCCGCCCAATTGACACCTCTACTAATCAGCACCCATATCACGCTACATCACATGGAAGCTAATCAATTACCTCAATCTTCGAAACTTCAAAGGAGTTGGTGAGTGCACCAAAAAAATAAATATCGTAATAATATTTGCAAATCGGACAAAAAAGGTGTGCTATGATAACTTTGTATGCCTCTCAAATACCAAGAGATATACAAAGGGGGCAACTGTAGTCTGTAGACACCACTTTTAGTCCGGGTTAAAACAAATTTAATTAAACAATTTTTTTATTTATTGAAGGTTTGCAATAGCGAATCTTAAATGATCTTCAAGCTAAAACATATTGATAATACTTGAAATGGGTCATGTGATGAGATTAAACAATAGCGATATGATTTGATAGTGAGAGTTAACTATTGTGAGTTGATCTTTGGATTGGTTGACTTTGGATTTGGTGAGAACTGTACCTTCGGAATCAATAGAAGAGTCAAATTAAGAAAAATAAATAAGCATCTTATTAAAATAAATTAGAATTAAACCAAACATAAATAAAAGTTACAATCACAATGCTATTCCATAATAATTCGTAATAATTCTTATATTAAATTTACAAACAAAATACAACAATAAAGTAAATGTAGGCCCAAATCAAGACCCAAAGTCAGTCAACTTTTAGTCAATTTGGTCAACAAAAGTCAAAGTCGGTCAACCCGGTCAGGTCTGACCAAACCCAGACCGATCTGACCCAAAACTGGTACTGTAAAAAACTTGTTGCGCAAGCTGCCTTTTTCATATAAAAGAACCCTTTGGGCTCTCACAAGAAGGCATGGACAGCTTCTTTCTCCCCGGGGAAGACTCCCTCTCTTTTCTTCTCCTCTTTTGGTTGTTCATCTTCCTACTCCCCCCTGAAACACAAAGACATACGAGAGAAAAGGAAAAAATCCCCAACATACTTCCTTCCTTCTTCTTCTTCCTCCCCTCCTAAAGCAACATACACATAAACAGAAACAAAAACTCCTCACCACTTCATCCTTTTTTTATCCAAAAACACAGCAGTCAACTATGCAAAACTTGCCACTTCCTTCCTTTCTAAATACAGACCAAACCGTAGCCACTAAAAACTAATTTCCCCTTCCCTTCTTCCTCTTTAGCCATAATAATCCAATACAAAAAACACAACAGATAAACTCTGCCAAACTTCCACTGCCTCTTCTAAAAGCATACTCACCATTCCAAAGAAAACCCCACAGCCATACACAGAGAAGGGAATTCACAGAAAGGACTTTCCCACATCTTATCCTTCTTCCCAAACACACCAAATATAACAAAAACAAAGAAGGAAAGAGTCATCGACAAGAAACAGTGAAGGCAGCAGCAAGGAGGCTAAGAGAAAAGGCAGAGTCAACAACAAACATCCTAGCACTGCCGCCAACACCAGCAAAAGAAACCCAAGAAGGAGTCGACAAAGATAGTTCAGAATCGTCATCAACCTACAAGTAGAAAGGTTGGTTGCCACCCAAAACCGACAACTGTCGTCATCCGCATCATTAATCATTTTGTTTTAAGTTCTTTTCAAAATCAAAACTCAAGCAACCCCAATCAAGTAACCATCTGGCCTTAATAAATCTTAAAAATCATCATACTCGATCCATTCCATTTCACTATATTGGCGAAGCAATCAATAAGATCAGATTTGTCGCTTTGCTCTCTACTTTTTGTCTAATCTATTTAATCTTGTCATTCCCATGCTTCAGTAATCAGTATATAACAAGCAAAAGCTAGATTTGTATTGTTTAACTTTGTTTTCTTCTTCTCGACTTTGTTTATTCCACCACATATATGACACATACTAAGCTAAAACCCCTACCATGAGCTACCAAAAACATACATGGAAGTCCGTTGTATACCAAAATACCAAATCTCGTGTCCATTCAAACCAGATTTCCCAAAACCCTAGAATTCAAAAACTTAAAACCTAGATCAAACCAATAACTAGTATCGTTACTATATGTTCATCCCAAACAGTAGCCACAAACCATACCCAATCACCACAATACATAATTCCACCATCAAAGCAGAACCATTTCCTCGAATCCACATCATTCACCCACAACTTCCAGTTTCAACACAATCTCAATCGAAATCCCAGATTCAGCAAACCACAGATTTCACCCATCACAAACTCAAAGAATCCAAATTTGACACTACAGCAATGAAAGACGAAGTAACCACAAGCAATAGCAATGTTTATGGTCTTTTAACAGTTAATTTTCCACTTTGTTCATTTTGCAAAATTCTGGAACTTGAACAAAAATTTTGAGTTTTCCTTATGGTTCTAAGTCCCACACCCCAGTTCTAAACACAACTTTCACAATCATAAATCGAATATCAAACACTAAATCAAGCGTACTATCGTAAACCATCAACGATTACCCAATCAAGAAGCCAGCAAATCAATACCAGCAATCAAGTAAAACTCTAAATCATCAACACTGAATTTAAATCAAACCATAGTGAATCGGTAGCCAATCTATTCTAGTTCTCGAACCTGCAAAAGGTAAGTTAATTTAGAATCCACCAAGTAAACAAGATAATCCAAAAATGAAATACAACTTACCAGGTCATGTCTGCCTCCGCTGCATCAGCCGCCGGCGACGCCGCCAGTGCTCGCCGGCAGTGACCTTACTTTCTCCTCTGTGCGCTTTTCCCCTGTCCCTTCCTCGCAATAAAAGAAACCAGAAAAATCAATCAGAACCTACAATACCCTATAAACAAAACTGAACCTCCAAATACGAAATGCAAGCAAAAAAAAACCCTCTTACCCTCACCGCAGGTGATACCCAGAACCGCCGCCGCTTCCATCGCCGGTAAGTCTTTCGCCGGCGGCGACCACGTTCTTCCTTCCCTCGATCGAGAACAAAACCCAAGACCCAAATCGAAATCAAATCACAATCGGAAAACCCCCTACATCGACATGCATAAGAAAACCGATCTTACCTCTGCAGCCGTCGATCTTCATCACGGCGTACACTGCCGTACTCCCATCGCCGCCGCCGTCGCTTCTTTCTCTCGGTCTCCGCGTCGTATCTAGAGAAGAAGAAGAGAGATTTGAGTGGAAGAAGATTTGAGCAGAAAGAGGAAAGAAAAGAGGCAGACCGGAAAAAGGTTTCTTTTCCTTCTTTCTGTTCGCCAGACAGAGAGCAAAATAGGGTAGAAAATAGCGGCTAGGGTTAGGTGTCTGCTAAAATGGGTTCGTACTTCGTATTACCGATCATCATTTTTTCCCCGTCGCCACTGACCTCTGCTTCGGAAAAGAAAGACAAAAATAAAAGTCTATTCCGTTGTACGAACCACTGACCTTATGTCACCCAATTCGTGGGTATAAGACCGCCGCTCCCGCTTTGGCGCGGCAAAACGCGCTTTCCCTATAATTCATTCATAAACCGCGAATTATATTTTCTTGGAGCGCGAATTACTGCCAGAAATTCGCGAATCTTTTGATTTGGGACAAAATGCCTTTGAGAAGATGTTTTAATTTGGGACGTAAATTTTCAACGCATTTCTCAACAGAAGTTAATCGACACAAGCTTTCTTTTCGTTTTACCTAGACTGTGAAGTCAAGTTGGACTTTGGGGTCGGAGAGTTGATCGGCAACGGCGATAGATTTAGGGTTGATGCCTAATAGCCATCCTTGTCCGGCCATCGATTCCTCGTGGAGTTAAGATTGCAAGAGCAAAAATGGTGAAACAAGAATATATTCTTTCCGCAAATCATCAACTCATCGATATTGCCAGAGAGCCCAGAGATAGAGAAATACAGAAGCGGAATTTGAAATCGGAGAGTTTGAGATCCAACAAATAAGAAGAAAGAGAATGGAGAAATAGAGAATGTTTACATGCAACAAGAAATAGATAAATGGCTTCCACGTGTCAGTAGAGCTGGCAGGTGGCTTCAGTTGGTGTAGTTAAAAACTAATCTAATTAAATTGTAGAGAAATTCATAGCACTAATTTCTAGTTTCAGTTTGTGTGATTAAAATGATACTATTAGCAAATTATTCTAGTTTTTTTATATTTATTTTCATATAAATGTGGCACTTTTTCTCAAAACACAACCACATTATCTGATCTAACATTTTTAAGTTGAATTATGTTTTAAATGAAATTAATTTTTATGTAATTTAAATAAAAATAATATAATAATAATGCTCTATTCGCGCTCTGAATATTGGATTCTTTTAAAATATACGCTCTCACGCTCTCGCTCTCGCTCCCGCTCCGCGAACTGGTTACCTAACACTGACCTAAGCGTTTTTTATAAAAACGCATCAACAATCTAAGCCACTAGACTGGAAGTCAACAATTTGGTCAAGGGTAAACTTCAATCAATCAAATATTGATTCATTTGTATACTTAACTTAAAAATATCCTTAATGCGGAATGTCGATGGTCAATAGACCATGCTAGCATTCTCGTATTAAATATCAAATCTGATTTACAAAGGTTCTAAAATGTATTTCAACTTTCCAATATCAAACCTTAACACATACCAATAGGACGTGCAGGGTTCCATTTTACTAAAATATTTTCTCATAAAACGAACTACGTGTACTTTGATCCCGATTAACTCGGGTACTAGGCAACCAATAGGTTCGAGTCCAACTAATAAAAAATATTTTCTTTACTTTCTAGATTTTGCGCAATAGACGGATAATCTAATTGTATACCAATTTTAACTCATTAGTCCAATTGGACTCCAAATACGTAATTAACACATTTTAAATAATAACTATCTAATTAATCAAATCATATAATCAAATACATCAAGAAAGCCGCAAATAATGATACACGCAAATATCGATTTAAGTAGTACCCATTTGGGGCGTTGTGGGGTGTGAATACACTTCCCCACACGTAACCATACTCCCGAACCCATAAACCTAAATTTCGCAGACCAAATCCTGGTTCTGACCCCAAGGTCGAGACCGGGCCAAAAAGGTGTTCGATCCACCACAAGTAAGGTCGATGGCGACTCCGAGCAGTTCGCGACACATCCCCCGATTCCATAGGTGCGGTTGCGACAGTGGCGACTTCGCTGGGGACTTATGAGAGTCGAGCTACATTAACAATCGATAAGTATTTTCTAACTTTCTTAATGGGTGTTATGTGTTTACGCTATTTATTTGCGTTTGTAATTTATGTCGTATTAAATTTATTGCATTCATGCATAAAGCTCTATACCCGAGCTCTACCTTTAGAAACTGAAATGAGTACCGTGACTTCTACAATAGTAGAGGAATAACGTGAAACTTTCTGACCAAGTTGAACTCAAAATCGAGGATGATTTGAGGTATCCGGCTAACCTCAAAAGCATGGTAAAGGAAACCGTACCAGAGATCGTACCGGATCCGTCAGCGGTAGGGTATTTTGTGGTACGACCGTGGTTCAATCGTTGTGTACCGGAAAAATACCGTTTTTGTGGGGGTGGTGTGACATTTTCACCTGCCCACCTCTTGCCCTTATTCGGCCGAAAATGGGGTGAAGTGAAGTTACTTCTTTTTAGATTTTACTTGTTTTGATGAAGCAGAGGGTCGAGTAAGCAAATATGAAAGCACTCAATGACTCAAAGCAAGGGAAGGAGAGGAGCGTCGGCTGACCTGAGGAGAAGCGGCGAGGAGCAGCGGGTGGCGAGGAGCAACTGAGGAGGAGCGGAGAGGCGGCGCGCCGATTGAGGAGGAGCAGCGGCAGAGCACCGATGGCTTCGCCGATCGAGGATCGCTGGTGGCTTCGCCGGCCGCCAGAGGAGAAGAGGAGCATCGAGGATCGCTGGTCCTGGTCGCCACTCGCCAGCCGCTGGGAAGGTTTTTTTCATTTGGCTGATTTGCATAGAGATTAGGGTTTAGAGCTTCGGCTGTTTTTTTATTTTATTTTGTATGCCTAAAACGACGTCGTTCCCATCCCATAAACCCACTCCCGGTTAGACCAAAACCGGGCGGTTTTTCGTATTGTGCCGGTTTAACCGAAAAAACCGGTCGGTACGATTTTCTGGCCACAAACAGTCTACCGTGCCGCCCAGGGTCCAATTTCCAGTTTTACCGGTTCAACCGGCCGGTACGATCCGGTTTCCTTTACCATGCTCAAAAGGGTTTGGCAGGGTACAACTTGGGAGCCAATTTTTAGTAACTCCTATCCAGCATATAGTTAGCTTAGAGCTACCCAAAGATATCGAGAATTTATCCTAAATCCACCTAGAACCTGTTCATTAAGCCTTTCGAAAAACGTAGGTTGTTCTAAGTAGGATGACATGTTTATGTTGTTGATTAATGTTTTCTTATTACAAAATTTCTTAAAAGTCATGACACTAGCATTCTTTCGTTAATTCATTAGTCACTCATTCAAGACCAATCATGAAGGTAAATCTACAAGCATTCGTGCATCGCAAAAAAAATTCATATTGCATGTTCCCATTCATATCACTTAGCATGGATATCATATATTCATCTCATCTATCAATAGGTAACATTTTTTAAAGATGACCAAATTTTTTAAAAATTGATCATCCACAAGGACAGTCAAGCCCTCAAGTACTCGATCGGATCCAAAGCCGATCTCATTAAAGAGATGATCCATAGGGAATTGAGCAACATCAAAGTAAAGTTGACGCTACTCGGAGAAATGAAAAGGGAATTTAGCATGATCATTTTGGCGATGTGTCATCCGAGGACAAAATTGTGCCAACTACACGACAAAGAGTATCGAGTGATAAGTCTCTCATCATAGCCTCACAGAACATGCATGATCAATAGATCTCAAAGAATCAAAGCACAATAATCCACAAGTTTCAGAACAATAGAAAGAATGTGAGGGCAACACTATGTTAAGAGAGAAAAGGGAGTAATCAAAAGAGAGTCGGAACTATCAATCCCAAAACACTCGAGCTCACCCATATGTGGCAACTATGCACCAATGTCTCTGCCTTCAGGAGTAATCGTCCAACCGAAGATCCATACACCAGTATCACAGCAAGGTGATAATCGAGATCAAAACATCTCAAGAAAACGAAAGGGGGAATATCATCCCATTCCCATCACATACATCGAAACTTTTCCAAGCTACTCCAAAATCATTTGATCACCCATGTATCATGTGAACCTATGTTGCCTCCATACCCAAGTAGATAGAAACCATAGCAATATTGTTCTTCCCACTATGATTAGTGAGACATTCCATTGAGGATGGCAAAATAGTGAAGATGAGGGTGCAACAAATGGTGGCACTGACATTCGAGAAAAAGCCAAATCGTCCAGATATGAAGAACAATCCAATGTCAAATCATGGAGATCAGTAGGCATACCATGAGACAAGGCTTGCTTCAAGGATGATGTTGACCCTCATAAGCAAACAAATGTCAGGATACTTAACCGTGTTGAAGCAACGTATCAGCATGTGCTTTCTTAACGAATGATAAAATGTCATTTGCATTTCCACCGATTTGGAACATTGTGTGACTAGTACAATCTTGATTTAGAAGTTTGCATCAATGATCCTTCTCCTTGCAAAATGATGAGTATCTCTTTCAAATCTTTAAAATCGAATTATTTTCTCCAAAATGGGAACCTTAAAACTACATTTCAAAAGTTCAAGTTAAGCCATGAGATTTCCATATTAAGCCATTATATGCTCCCCACTAATGCCGAGTGGTTATAAGCACCCTACTGGTGCCATAATTTGTGCAATCCACTCATATTGAGAGTGTGCACATTTTACCATAATCGAGAGCATAAACACCCACTGGGGTCAACTGTTTACTTAGCTAAATAGTCAAAGGGTGTAATGGGGATACGACACTAGGCTGCTTATAGAAGCTTGTCACTACCCTAACCAATGTCCTCTATCAAATTAAGGCTCGACTAGAAAGGAGGTTAAGTAGCCAAATCATGGTCCATGAGCACCGATATGCCGACATCATAATAGCCAAATTCCCACAAAGCCCTAACGGCCAGAAGATTGAGGAGGTTGAATTATCCAATTTGACAAACTCACATCATCAGTTGAGGTTTTAATGAGACAAAAAGCCCCATTGTCCAAATGCCTACATGCCTAAGTTCGAATTGTGGGCTATTCAAGCAGAAAAAGCATTCGAACAATACGTGCCGGCATCAGATATCTCGCTTCTTCAAGAAAGGAATGACCAAGTGGCCTAGCCAACAAGGAGGACCACTCACAAAGATTGATATATTGACAAATCTCCTAACAACTTCATGCTCGTATACAAAAATC